AAAAAAAAATAAAAATAAAAGGAATTCACATAGAGCACCAGAAGAAGTCAGACTATCCCTATTTGCAGACAACATGATCTTATATACCTAAAGGACCCCAAAGACTCCATCCCCAACCTCCAAGAGCTGATCAACCACTTTGGCAAAGTAGCAGCATACAAAATTAACCCACAAAGAACAGTAGTCTTTCTGTATGCCAACCATGTACAAGTAGAAAGGGAAATCATGAAAACAAGTTCATTTGCAATAGCCTCAAAAAAATACCTAGGAATAAGCCTAATCAAACACATAAAAGATTTGTGAAAGCTACAAAAATCTGAAGAAAGAAATCACAGAGGACACCAGAAAATGGTGTTCATGTTCATGGATAAGTAGAAAATGTCCATACTGCCAAAAATTGTATAAAACTTCAGCATAATACCCATCAAAACACTAATATGTTCCTTTTACTGATACAGACGAAACAATCCAAAAATTCATGTGGAACAACAAAAGACCTATAATAGCCCAAGCAGTTCTAGGCAAAACAAAACAAACCAACAACAAAAATACAATGCAGGTGATATCAAAATACCAGACCTTAAACTCTACTACAAAGCTGTAATAACAAAAACAGCTTGTTATTGACACAAAAATAGAGATAGAGATCAATGGAACAGATTAGAAGACCCAGAAATAAAACCATACACTTAGTTATCTAATATTTGATAAAGAAGACAAAGACATACAGTGGGGGGGAAAATAGTCTCTTCAATAATTGGTGTTGGGAAAACTAGGCATCCATATGCAGAAAACTAAAAATGAATCCCTGTTTGGCACCACGCACTAATATCAATTCAAAGTGCATCAAAGACCTCAATATCAGACCTGAAACTTTGAAACTACTGTAAGAGAGAGTACGAGAAACATTAGAGCTTACAGATAAAGGTAGAAACTTCTTGAAAAGAGTCCAGGGACACAACAGATAGGAGACTTGACAAGTGGGAAAACATCAAAATAAAAAGTTTCTGCACAGCTAAGGACACAGTTACTAAACCAGAAAGACAGCCAACAGACTGGGAGAAGATCTTTACCAGCAATATACCTGTCAAAGGCCTATATTCAATGTATGCAAGGAGCTCAAGAAACCCCTCCCAAACCTAACAAACTAATCACTAAATGGGCAAGGAAGCTAAGGAGAGATATCTCAGAAGAGGAGGTAAAAATGGCAAAGAAATACATGAGAAAATGCTCATCATTCTAGGCCATAAAGGAAATGCAAATCAAAACAAGCCTGAGATTCCATCTCATCCCAGGTAGATTGGCCAACATTGTGAATTTGAACAACAACAAATGTTGGTAGGGATATGGGAAAAAGGAACTCTACTGCACTGTTGGTGGGAATGTAAACTAGTACCACCACTCTGGCCAGCAGTCCAGAGATTCATCTGAAAACTAAACATAGATCTTCCCTACAACTCAGCCATACTACTCCTGAGCATCTACCCTGAACATCATGAGCCAGAATATGATAAAGACGCCTGCACATCCATGTTCATTGCTGTACTATTCACAATAGCCAAGATATGGAAACAGCACAAATACTTCCCAATAGATGAATGGATCAGAAAAATGTGGTACCTATACACAATTGTAATTTTACATAGCCATTAGAAAGAATAAAATAATGTCATCTGCAGGAAAATGGATGGACCTAGAACAAATTATGTTAAGTAAGGTAAGCCATGCTCAGAGACACAAATGCCACATGTTCTCTTTGATGTATGGAAATACTTAAAATACACTGGGATATGATAAATTATATAGGATTCTAGACATTCACACAGTGAGATCAACAAAGGATATGGTTAGGAGAGAAAAAAAGGCTCAAAGCCTAAGTGCCTGTTCATATTTGCATAAAATAATATGCATATCAAAAGGAACTCCAAGACATGGAACAAGGGACCTCTTTTCTCTTTGTATTTTTAAATTTTTTAAGGTTTTTGTTTTTGGGGGGGATTCTATCTTCTTTCCCTTATGTATGGTGTATTCAAGTGTACATCTTCAGAAGGGCTGGGGGAGGGTATAGAACGCGAGTGGAGCAGAGGAACTCACTGGACACTGATGAAAGCAAACGATACAGCTCATGGGTGGAGACAGGAGGGAAGGACTGGGAGAGCTTGAGGGAACAGAAGACACTTTATAAAAAGAAATGTACTCATATCCTGACTTATGTAACTGTAACCACCCCTCTGTGTATCACCTTTACAATTTAAAAAAAAGGCACCCTAGAACTCAGCAATCAAGTAAGTCATAAAATCATACTCCAAATAATTTGGTACCAAATATCTAAAGAAAAGAACTCCTGGGTAGAAATCTCAATAACTGTTTAGAGTGAATGAGACATGGTCACTCTACAACGAACAGCCCAAAACATGAAGTCGAGAATGGCTTGTACCCCAGCCTCCACTCCCCTCCAAAACTCTCCATGTTGCCACTGTCCTTACCCTTTCCAGGCTGATAATGACAAGCTGTCTGACAAGTGGTTTTACCTGCAAGCAGGTAGCTGAGAGCTCAGCATAAGTCCTCACCTGGTACGTTGTGGATGGTGATGGCCAGGATGAGCAGAGCAATTCTCCTCCAGCTGCCGCTGCCAGGCTGGGCCGCGCTGCCTGGAGGTGATGCCAGGGGAGCGGGGCCCTCTGGGAGGCCGGTCACCACCTTCTTCCTCTGGTATGCCTCGCCATTCTCGTTCTTATCTGAACAAAGAAACACCAGGAAAGAGGCCTTGAGAATGTGCAGGTTGGAGGCCAAGGCAAGCAGCAGCCACACAGCAAAGCTTTCTGTGTGTATGTGCCACAAGTGGGACTTGGGTTTTGTGTATTTTCTTAGCTTTAGAAAAAGCCAAGGCTGGAGCTCTACCACTTGGTCTACACCTCCACTTCTGGCTTTTTGCTAGGTAATTGAAGAGAAAGTCTCTCTCATTTGTCTGCCTGGGCTAGCTTTAACTGTGATCCTCAGATCTCAGCCTTCTGAGTAAGTAGGATTACAGATATGCACTAACAGTGCAGAGAGAGAGGAAAGCTGTCAAGATAGGAAAGGCTCTATTTCCCAACTACCCAGACCAGGGAACCTCCTGACTATCTGTTCATACACAACAGCAGTAAATGCTCAAACGTCCACATTACACAGAAACTGTGTAAGACAATCAATGCTGAGAAGTGACTGGAAACAGGTTCTGGGAGCCAGACTGCCAGGTTTACTTCTTGACTCGATCATTCTAAACAAGTTGTTTCACCGCTCTGTGCAGTAGTTCCCTGACTCATAAACCCAGAGCAACACCATGACCTGTTTCACAGGGGGTTATGAGGATTCAGTAAGAGAATGTAGCTGGATGTATTGATGGCTAATGGCAGGGATGTATTCCTTCTCTCCCAGAGCCCCATGGAACTCCATAACATGTGTGAGCCTATTCGGGTCATCCAGAGGCTCAGAGACCAATTCAGAGGCCAGTGGCCAGTCAGATTCCCTCTTGTATTACCTGGTGACTCAGGTGTGGGGCTGAACCTGATAAATCATGTGATTAGGGGTAGCTATGCCAGATTGGAGTAAGGGAAGCCATATAGCCAGAAAGAAACAAAGACAGACAGACAGCTTGCAATCCATATTCTAAAAGGTGTTCATATACCCTCCCCCCCCCACACACACCCAGTTCACTGGGTGTCATGAGCTCATTCTCCTTTCTGCTGGAGGAATATCAATACCAAATTTCAAACTCTACTATAAAGCCATAGTAATCAAAACAGCTTGGTACTGGCACAAGAACAGATCTCAGGACCAATGGAATAGAATTGAAAACTCAAAAATGAACATACAGACCTATAGCCATCTAATCTTCGATAAGGGAGCTAAAAAAAAATAGAAAGAAAGACAGCCTCTTCAGTAAATGATGCTGGCAAAATTGGTTAATAACTTGTAGAAAACTAAAGCTAGATCCTTATATATCACCCTGCACCAGAATCAACTCCAAATGGATCAAAGACCTCCGAGTCAAAGCAGACACACTGAAAACATTATAGGATGGAATAGGAGAAACCCTAGGTCTCCTTGGCACAGGCCAAAATTTTCTTAATAGAGACCCGGAAACACAACAAACAAAAGAAAGGTTGGACAAATGGGATTGCATGAAGTTGCAGAGCTTCTGCATGGCAAAGGACATAGCTAGCAAGATCAATAGAAAGCCTACACATTGGGAGAAGATCTTCACTAGCCATACAACGGACAAGGGTCTCATATCTAAAATATACTTGGAACTCAAAAAATTAAATCCCCCAACAACAAATCCTCAAAGAAACAACTGCCCAATAAATAAGTGGGCAAAAGACTTAAAGAGAAACTTCTCTGAAGAAGAAAGAAGGATGGCCAATAGACACATGAAGAAATGTTCAACATCCCTAGCCATAAAAGAAATGCAAATCAAAACAACATTGAGATATCACCTCACCCCAGATAGAACAGCAAAAATCAAGAACTCTAATAACAACAGATGCTGGAGGGGATGTGGACAGAAGGGAACCTTACTGCATTGTTGGTGGGAATGTAAACTTGTTCAACCACTTTGGAAAGCAGTATGGAAGTTCCTCAAAAGACTTCACATAGAACTCCCCTACGACCCAGCAATCCCACTTTTGGGCATTTACCCAAATGCTTACAAACAAGACCACACTAAAGCTACCAGCACAACTATGTTTATTGCAGCATTATTTACCATAGCTAAGATATGGAACCAACCCAGATGCCCCTCAGTAGATGAATGGATCAAGAAAATGTGATATATATACACAATGGAATTCTGTGCCTTCATCAGAAAGAATGACATTGTCCCATTTGTTAGGAAATGGAAAGGCTTGGAAAAAATTATATTAAGTGAAGTAAGCCTAGCCCAAAGAAGTATTGGTCCCATGGTTTCCCTTATTTGTAATATCTAGTATATGAATGAGTCAAGCAGAAAAGGTCAGATAATGTAATGTTAGGAAAATGAACCCTTAGATATGTATCTTAATATTTTTTTTCTTTCATGCATTTGTTTCTAACGCATTTATAAGATTATTTCTTTGTTGCTTTGTATGTCCCTCCCCCACAGTATAACCCCTGCTTTCACTATATTTGATGTCGGTATAATTTGTGGAGGGGAAGGGGAAAAACAAGTCATTTAAATAAGGATACAGGTGGACCCTTTACAACTTTGGTGTGTGTGGGGGATTGGGTGGGGGGAACTGGGGAGGCTGGGAAGGGATGTGGAGGGTAAACAAAGGAGGAGGCTGCAATGCTTGATAAGAAATGTACTCATTACCTTGCCCATGTAATTGTAACCCCTCGGTACAGTATGTTCACAATAAAAAATTTAAAAATAAATAAATAAATAAAATTCCCAATTGGAGTGTGTTGTTTCTTAGGGCCAGATGGTCTAAATGTGATCAGGATCCCACTGTCATGTTTATTCTAATGGAGACAAATGACATGCAACGGGGATCCAGACTGGGGTACACAGTGTGGGATGGAGGTGGGGAGGGCTTTTAAAAAGATTGTTTTTATTTTCGCTAAGTAGTTGTATGAAAAATTTACCATTCAACCCATCAGTTTATCAGTGCAGTGCATCTTGATCTATGTCACCCCTTTCATCATTCTCCCCACCCTCCCCCCAGCAGAGGTGGGCTTCCTTCATTCACACTGAGATCTCACCAAGAAGGGCAGAGCCTTACAGCATTCCCCCTGCCCTCTTCAGTGTCCTGGACCACCCACCTGCCACCCCATGACGCCATGTGCAAGCTAGTCCAGAACTTGATCCTTCCTGACTCAAGAGGCCCAGCCCAGGCATCTGGCCTCACCCTCAGGCAACTGCACTAAAGGAATTGCCCACTGTGTAACCCGAGCCCCAAATATGAATCTGGGAGAAGGGGGTGGATCTTGACTACTTTGTATTCTAAACATGACAAGAAGGAAATTCCTCCTTTGAAAGTCACTTTGTGTTTGTTCATGCAAATATAGCTTGAAGAGTGAGAAAGTACTACAGGGCAAGCAGACTTTGTCCTCCCTAAATCCTGCCAACAGCTGCTTCTCTGTGTTCCTGACTGGAGGGCATGGTTCTGAGGTAGAGCCTGGACCCAGCATGTCCAGGGCTCTGGGTTCCATCTCCAGCAGAGAAAAGAAAGGAAAGAGGAAAGGAAGGAGGGAGAGAAGGAGAAGGTAAGAGAGGGGAAGAGGGGAAAGAAAAGTGAGAAAGGGAGAGATGAGGGGGAGAGCCGTACATTTTAAGCTGACAATATCTGGTGACAATTTCTGGCTCCAGAGGTGGGTCAGAACCTGGTCAGAACCTGCTCTGAATGGCCTGAGGTCTAGAGACCTGAGTGGAGCAGCGGAGTGCTGCTGTGGCGTGGGCAGGGGGCGGGGCGGGGGGGGGGGGGGGGGGGGGGTGGGGAGCGGGGCGCTCAGCTCTCCCCTGGACCATGATAAATGCTACTGGTTCCCTCAGAGCACGCACACCAGGCCTGAGGCTTTTCCTGTGTGGATTGTATCATTTAAGAGACCACAGACAGGAAGGCATAAATAAATTCCTTCACATCTAAGGGGAAGGAAACACACACTCTCTAACAAGCACTTATTTTCCCCAAGGCCAGCAATGAGTGTCTGACCCTGAAGTCCTACAGGTGATTATCAGAAACCCCAGGGCCAGGAGGTAGGTAAGCAGAGCCAGGCCCCTTGGGATGCAACAGACACATGAGGAGGCCTGAAGAGTTAATAACTGAAGCTGAGATGTGCATCGGATCCCAACATGTGAAAACTCAGAGCTCTCCCCTAGCAGTAAACTGGAGGGTGCAAACACCTGTCTTGCACTAGTTAGAGTTAAATAAGTCACCATTTGGTAACAGCCACTAATGAGTCCACAATAGAGAGAGATTAGTCCCAATAAATCATTATAGATAGCTCCATGTAGAGGCATCCGGAGCAACTGATCTTCCAGTCTCTTCTGCTAAGCCTGATTAACAAGGGAAACAGGGATGCACTGGCAAAAGGGTGGCCCAAGAGCAAGAGCCACTGCGTCAGGCATGCTGTGGAGGAGGCCTGTGCCAGGGGAGTGAGTGACAAGGATCTCAAGGGATTTCCTGAAACGGGAAAGGCCTTGACATTTTCACAGTAGGGCTTGGCACAGAGGAACAGCAAGCACATCTGAGGATGACCTGGTCAAGGTCGAAACCAGAAGTGGACACAGCCATCAGCGAGACTGGCTGATTCAAGGTGACCGTGAGAACTTAGCCCTAATTCTTTTCAATCTTTACAAAAGGCCTACGAAGGGTTGACTCCATCTCCTTTTATAAATGAGGAAATGAAAGAACAGAGAGGTAGAGTAACTTTCCCCAGAGCCATGCTGCTGCCAGTCCATTGGTGGTCAGGGTCAGTGGAGGGGCTCTAAGAGGCCACTCTGTCGGCCAGGGTCTTGTGGTTGACTGGAACTGGGGTTAAGTGGAATAGAGTGGTGTTTGGGTGTTCATTGGACCCATTGCTTAGCTAAAAGCCTACGTGGGAGTGGCCAAAACAGTGAGAAGGTTACACAGAGAGAGCTGGGAGCTCTGACAACATAGCACAAAGGAGGGAGAGGTGGAGTGGGAGTCTCATGTTTTCCACTCCCACTGTGGATCGATCTGAAGTAAGAAGTGTAGAAGTAATCTCAAATTGAGATAGCTCTAAATAGAAAACAATT